TTGTACTAAATGTTGTCTACATTTTGCACCGAATCAAATGCTACTGGTATACAGTTCGATAGACGGTATGTTCCGTTCTGTAGAAGTATCCCTTTGAATTAATCAGTTGGTAGCATGCAGATGAACAGGCACTCACAATTCACTATCGATTGTCAGTGGTGTTGCTGAGAGTACAATTTACCCCCCTCCCTTTCTCACTTGTTCTGATTTGCACTACTGTCCTAGTCAGAACTAAGGACAGCTAGTAATCACGTAATAACCAGTGACTTGGATTTCCACTTGTTTGCGTGTGAAACCAACAATCATTTTCGTGATCACTCAACCACTCACCACAGTGACTGAGCATTTCGGTCACCGTCGCAGCCGCGGCTTAATCTGCCTTTGTATTCATGCCAGTGATGGACTTTTGGAATCTAAGCCCTAGGTTTTATTGTACAGGTTATCTTGTTGTTTAGAGCCACAGACGATGTTTGAAATACCACGGCTGACATTGTGGTTGGCTGTCCGCTCACTTTGGCCGATAGGTGAGAACATCAGTCGTTACCTATATTTATCAAAACAAACTTGGTTAAATGTGCATATTGATAGGCATGTGACATACTTGGAACATTGTATGGAAGAAACGACCCATAGGTAGATACACAAGGCTCAAGGCCTTACCAGAATAAAATATAGACTGTTTGGACCTCACACCGAGTGGAACACCATTGGATGAATTGGTCTTGTGATAGACGCATCATGTTTCAACTCATAAAGCTGGACCGAAATGATATCACTATAGAAGTTATGTGGCAATCTTAAGGCTGACTGTTCTCTTGCATTTATTTGTAGCACGGGACCAAAATAGCCAGCAGTAAGAGTCGGGTGAATGTGCTTTATATAAAAATATTTCACGATCTATGCTCACGCATACAAGTTGTCATGTTGCCAGAACGGAGGTATAGAGACAAAATTGTGTCTCTCGTAAGAAGCAAAAGCTGTTGGAGTAATTCTCTTCCTATCTTGTGGAGGGAGCAATGGGTCCCAACAAAATACTTCCGTGGTCCGCGATGGTTTGCTTGTAGGCAGCTAGCAAAATCATCACTTTATGTGCGATAACCAGTTGTTTATCGATGTTTTTAAACCACCAAACTCTTCTTCAGTGGGGTTGAAAAATCAGCTGCAGGGTGGAAATAAAGCGAGTAGAATGTCCCGGGGCTACAACAGTGGTTTTCACCCGCATTTACGTAATGGCATTGTCAAATAAAAATACAGCCGGTGCACCCGACTGTTTAGCACCGAATTGTGATGAGCATTTCTGAATAAATATGTGCGCATTCATTCATGGATGACATTCGTAGCACACGATTTCGGTGGGAGAAAGTACGTGATACCGTTGAGATTGACGCCTCTGTAAAAACGCAAGGGTTGCTTCTTAGCGAACGCCTCTTGGTCGAGAGTACCATGTATCATAATTGGTTTCGTCTATATGTATACGCAACATTGTACTTCCGTGTTCCCCCAAAGAGGTTGCTTATTCAGCGCGTTTTTGTTTGACATCTTGCTTGTTTCATTCAATCGGTTTAATGATTAGCTTTTTCGATGGATGTCCTTGACCATCAAGCAAGTTATCAGTTGAGGATAAACCGATCGTTATTTCAGGATATATACTTTCCACCTTCCTTCTTATCACAGAACGGGTTGTTTCAGAATGTTCTCCTGAGAGGGAGCAGATTTGTGCAATATATCCATGTGGAAATTTTCTTTTAGCGAATCCTCTCTTAGGACTAAATTCTTTCTGCAGTGCCTCGGCAGATCCTAATGTTTATTCCTAGATGATTCACTGTGAGGTGCAGGCTTTCACCATTCCCCTACCGTCGTACCATTCGTTGCCTATCGTCTTCGCTGATGCTCGTCCGCTTCTTTTTGTTGGGTTTTGTTGGGGTTATTCATGTGCAGGGCTCCCACCACAGCTTCATCAACAGCTTATTCCTGCATTGTGGTTGAGCCACATTTCTATAGGAATGAACACTACGAATGAGCCTTCGACGGAACAGATGATGCGCTTTCTTTACTGAATCGCATGACCCTATCACCACAGCAATGCTGCGATTTCCGACGCTTCCATTTGGGCCACTCGGCAATTAAGCGAACACAGCCTTCGGTAACCGAACCTTCCGACGTATCCAAGCCGCGCAAGGTCACACCATGTGCGAGTTTCCGGACCCAGTTAAGGGACCTGATGGCCTTGTGTGTGTCAAATGAACGGCTGCGCGCACGATACAAATCTGATTTTAATCACTTTTCAAGTCACCAGCTGAATGATTGCTTAAACATCTGCGGGATTACTAATGATGGAAGCTGAGTTCATCAGTTTACGCTAACAGGTGATTACAGATTCGCATCTCAAGCGGAAACCAGTCATTGATGAAGACTGAAGAAGAACTTGTGAATGTCTAAGGAAAGGTGAAGATTTAAAGTGTTTATCCTAAGCTCTTGAAATTGTCATAAAAACCAGCATATCTAACGCCAAACGGCACCCAATGTCTAGCCTTGAACGAGAATTAACAAAACGTAAATTTTTAAATGACTTTTCAATGGGTCTGTGCTCATTGGTAGAGGAGAGTCCCAGAATCTCTTTGAGTGGGATGAAGAAAAAGATGGAATTGTAACGTTTGAATGCATTGATCACTTTATTTTCCATTGATTGTCTTCTCGGTGGTCCCGCTTACATTACGAAAAAAATCACGCATTCTTCCGATCGAGCGAAACAGGGTTGATGTCAAAGAAAGAAGAGTTCAATATGCAATGCGGTTACTTGTTCATGATAGCTCCGTCATATGATTCCACATAGATGAGACAAATAACAGCATGTAAGCCATGTGGACCATAATGTTAACCTTGTTGTTTTTTTAATAATCGCCGAGGACTTATAAAAGAGCTCCATTGGATCTTGAACCCTTACCAAAAGCTCTCAATAATTACCACTGGATCTTAAACTGCAGGGAAACCTGTTGTATGAACGCCTGCATCTACTTACCCAAAGAATATGAAAACGGTAAAATATATGTGGTCGCTTAAATCGTTCACGTACTAGAGTCTGATCGATCTCCCAGCTACCTGAGGGCTTTGGCTCGCTTTTGGCCACGTTTCTCCGTTTATTAAAACTGCTATTGCGTGAACGACTCTTCCTTTCTTGGCCAGCTTACGCTTCATTCTGTAAATTTCAACTTGGATCAACTTAAGCCCAACCTGGTGTCCTGCTGAGGTAGGATCTGCTTTATCTGTCGTGAGATTTTACCTAAATGGTCGTTTGGTTTTCTTCTGTATGTATTTGCTGTTTGATAGGCGCGATCTATTACGTGATTGTGTCATTCTATTTCTACGACAATCAATATTACAAAGGCCCCGTGAATTCATTCACAAAAGATGTATTTATTGGCATTTATCATATTTTTTCTACTGATCTACTAGAGTAACCGGATTCCGTGTGCAAATTAATCCGGGAAGACACAGCCATTTTGGGTGAACACTTATCATTGGACCGAAAGAACTTCACTGGAGTTGCAATAGAATAATAAGCTATATTTCGTTGCATATTTATCACCCTAGATCACAATAAAGTAATCACGGCTTGTACAACAAACCTCAGGGCAAATCTCTGTCCAACCACTATAAGGCACGTGTCAACAGAGGACTCCGGGTTTTTGTCAAGATGACTTCGAGACGTGTCTTGTTTAATCTACTTCGAGAGTCACTTGGGAATTTTTCTTCTTTATCCTTTGTGCTGGTTGCCAATGTACGTGCCAACACTAAAGCTGATGAATTTCCACACAATAATGTCAGCCAGAGTTTTCCAGTTGGCTATGTTCACCGTTGTGCAGACCAATCTCACAGGTAAATGACCCTAGGCGAATCTCTAAGTCAGTACTCTGCACCAAGATACGGTTAAAAACACAGCAGAAAAGTGATCCATTCTCTATGCATTTGTCTACGACTTGCTTGCTGTCTACAATTAGTTATAAAACGTGCACTTATTCGACTGGAAAATTGGAAAAAAATTATTGATGTTTCACATTGTTCACTTTATTTCCGTATTTGTTGTTAAGTGGTATAAACGTTCATCACATCGGTGATCAAATTTTGGAGTCTCACCACTGCCAGTGATGTATTGCAATCCGTTTTCTCCGGTCTGGCTTCCTATCAGGACACTATAAGAATATCTATTTCAGGTTTCAAGGTCGTGGTTGTCTACAGTCCATGGCACCGAAGAATGCCGTGGTGACCTTGGATTGTACTTAGGCGCAATAATACAATAAAAATACACATTTTTCCCATAGAAATAGCTTAGTACTGGCTTTGAAATATATTTTGAAGACTTCTGAAACTCTCCTTGCATTTATTCACTCGGCTTATCAAATGCTGTCAGTTTGTATGTGCTGTGTATAACTTCTAGAGGTGATGTACTGCTTTTGCACAAACTCCTAGTCGAGATCACAGTTGGTAGTGTGATCAGGTTTACGCTCAGTGGAAATTCTGCCAGTATGATGGGTTGGTTGAGGCACGTTTTGCTTGTACTGATTTCTTTCGCAAAACTAAAGATTCGAGTTAAATTGCACTCGCCTTCCCGTTAGGTCATACACTGAAACTCTTGAAGCCCCCGACTGAATTTCTATTCTTGGTTTGAAATAATTCAGGCTAGGTAAAGGACAGCGAGATCTTTAAGAATTCTTGCACACGGCAATGATTTGAAGAGTTGTCAGTGATGAATTTGAGACTTAAGAGTCTGTGTGACTCCGTCATGAGAGCTGACAGAAGATGGAAGATGTTCACACAATCGAGAGAGTGCATCGTTCAAAGAGCCTATACAAAAGCACAGGTAGTCCGAATTTGACAAAGGGCAATAACGTTTCCTTTCAAAAGAACAAGTGGTTATCAGATTGAAATCAAGAACAATATCTTCCTAAATTGTGATCTCACCCAATAGATATTTGTCTCATTGTCTCTGTTCCCCTGAATAGGCCGAGCCACATCAGAGTCACATGCGTATTCATCAATTGGAGAATGTGAGCAAAGCACTGCGATTCCTATGCGCTCAGGGTGCTCATATAGAGAATTTGGGTGCACAAGACGTCGTGGACGGAAATCCCCGATTGACTCTTGGATTGATTTGGACCATCATTTTGCACTTCCAGGTTAGTGATATCAGGCTTTAGAATTGATTAATTTTTTTGTGTGGAACTCCCGCCAACTTTGCCATTCGAAGGAAAAAAATGACAAGTATTGCTGATGTTCAGTATCGGGACAGCAGTAGGTGTGGAATGTTAGACTGTTGAGACTCTTTGGTCATCCTTCACTGTAAACAACAACCTCATTTATATCAAGTAATTATTTGGAAAAAAGTGGTACTTATACACCCATTCTATCAAGGACTTACAAATCAGGGAGAAACAACTTTCATTAAAATTGAATGAGAATGCGAGTGAAGAATCACTTTAGAAGACCTCAATAGCTCATGATCGATAAAGATCCGAACGACAAATCAATAGACTACCAATCATGATGGACGTCACATGAATACGTAATGGCTGTCTTCAGGATGTGTGAAATGAACGTGTGCAAAAAAGCATTCAGAAAATCAATACAAAGATACAGTAAAAAAGAGGACGATGTTCACATAAATCCATATATCAGGTGCTTTGACTTGTTTTAATGCTCAGTTTCTCCGTGAATCGTAAGCTGATGACTAGTGGGAGTATGATTGTCTCCTTTATTTGAGGTATGATTTCTCCTTTGAAAACAAGCAATTACTACCAGCAGGTCAGAAGGGTTTCATTGAGTACGATGTGGTTTAAGATCATCAGACAAGAGCCCATGTACTTTGAAAGTTGATTGCTGTAGGATATTCAGAACTATGATATGTTTTTTGTGAATCATCTCCGCTCAGAGCATAAAAGCTAGAATTATGTGCCTGAGATACATAGCTCACTTTAGATCTGAACGACTCACCTGAAAGTTAGCCAAATTGAGCAAACCTTTGAGCGATCTGCTGGTATATGAAAGCTCATTTGAGAATAAGATTATTCGGCGAGATGCCTTACAGCTGGATGTTCAACCCCGTGAGAAAACTATGTACCCTAGCTGGCTCATGTACATTACGACAGAACTGAATTTTAAATGTCTGTCCCAAATACTCGAAACAATAAGAAAGACATTAGATTCTAGATGATTGTTCTATCCCATTCGGATAGACAGGAAGATTTCAAAGGTGATAGAAGCTTTTTCATTGATGGTGGTACAAATCTGGTCATGCATTTATTTTTTGGATTAGGAAAGGTTTCAATTGACAGGATTTAAAGGAAACCAAGTCCTTCATCTAATCGATTATTCAGACGGTTCAGAGAATTCCAGGAATCTCAGTTGGAAGAAACTGTCGAACTTTGTTCAAATTCAAGATACACCTGACCTGCCACGGACAGTTCGCATTGATTGAACACGCATCTCTGGCTTATAGTAATCGGATAATAGAATAAATTTCTTTAATTTACAGTATACATGTCTGTCTACCAAACTCACACCTACCAATTATATGAGCTAACCGAACATTACAATCAGTGGTCAAATTGCTACTAGTGGGAAGGAAAACAAATTGAGTAATTTGCTAACCCTCAAAACGAGTTCAAAGACGCAATTTCACTCATCCCTTGAGTGTTGAACTTTCGGCAATCATTCCGTTAGTTAGTTCTAGTTTTTTGGGTTACAGGGAGGAACAAATTGACCTTCTTACTCCAGTCCAATTGTCACATTTTGGCAATTGGATTTTTCTGATACGGCAAAGAACTGCACATTCGGAGCGATTACATTTAAGGTCTATTACAGATACAACCCTACGAAATCTATTCTCTTTGTCTGAAATACCCCATTCGTATTCTAAAGAGTAATTGTTTGTCGGCAGAGGGGTAGATGTTCAAATGACAGCTTCGGGCCACTTGGTATTACCAGTGGGAGACTCCCATTATCCACAGCACCAATGCTCTCTAAATTGTGGTTATACGTGGAAATGCATAACAGTAAATATTTAACGAAAACTCTCAGTCAGGCTTTCGGATATTTTAATGCATCCCGAAAATAGCACAGTGTGTTTGTTTCAAAATTCGACGAAGAAGCCCACGTGTACTTCACTCAGTATGGTTATTGAGTAATCCCCATGAAACAACTTCCTGTAGAGGAAAAACAATCTGTTCAGTTTTGTTCATTTTCCAGTGATATATAACTTTTCAAACAAGAGGAAAGAAAGGCGCCTCAACTGGGTACTCCAAAACCGTACGGAATATACAAACACGGGGATATACAGGGGTTGTAGAATAATCGGACAGGTGATAGCAATAAATCATACTGAGAATCTCTAGAATTTCCACCCCAAGAATAACCCGAATTCAGATATAACAAGTCCTACATTTTAAAAGCTTCCTCCTAAAATTATCTTGAAACAGTTTTTCCAGTACAGGGTTGTTTGATTTTTGTACTGGATATATTTTTTGCAAAGCAAATGTTATCCTGGATGAGCAAGTGATTCGTAGTAATCAACCTGTGACCTGGCGTGGTTCTTTCCTCCAAGTCTCAGTACCAAGACTGTTAGTTTTTCAAGTGAATGAAAAGAGGTTGTTACTTTGTACCGACCAGTATATCTTTTTCAGCAATCGAACTTAGGCTCCCGATTTCATCGATTCATGTCGATGCGAAATGATGTTCCTATTCGAAATAGTTGGGACCACTGTTCAGCACCCTCACTTTCAGAATCTAAATTATTGTGTGTCACTAATATTACAGCGGAAGTTTCCATTTACATAAATTGATTGTTGTATTGCACTTGTTTTCCGGAAGACCAACAAATACAAATTCTATTAGCCATAAAAGAAGACTTTTTCATATATCAAATGAAATTACAGCTGAGTGTGGTTGTTTCAATTATTAAGACAGAAAATTATACAAGTGCTTATTGTGAAATCAAAAAACAAGAAAGAATTTGTTGCCAAATTAGATTTTTAAAGGTGCAGGAAAAAAACCATTTTGAGAGAAATACAGTCTTCTGAGAAGGTGACTGTAAAACATGTTGAAGGAAGCAAATTCCACGATTCGTTGCATATACTTTCTTGTAGCACGCAAAAATGTGCTTAGATGATTTAGCATGTTTTGCTTTATCCCACTCTCGAATACGACTGCTATGGAAGTGGTGCGCACCACGGACTGAAAAGCTTGTTGTATTTTAAGGGATAACCGGCCACCTGATACGGAGACATGGAGTGAAGAGCAGTATAAGGTCTTCATAGATCGGGCCTGGTTGATTCCCACCATCCTGGAAATAGTGGATTGCTTCCTATTACAAAGGTGATCAGCAGTGGTTCCGAAGTTCAGTTGTCGTACCTCCAAGATGACAGATGTTGATACCACTTGACACCACATGATAAAAGAGAATTGAGAACACGGATCAATGACCCTGTTGATCAGATTTATGAGTTGTACCTGGCCCAAAGTAGGTCTAACAGCTGGACTTACATATGTATGAGTTCGTGCTTATGCGCACTTATCCATAGTTTGTACACGTTTTGGGGAACTTTGGAAATCAGCGTAGCGTTCAGTTGACGGTTGATACCCTACCCCTCTGCTAATCATAACTACGGCAGAAGGCTATCCGCTGTACCCTGAAATTTACAATGTCTGACCTATTGTAACTTCATTTGAATCTGCACCAGAAGTTCCGGAGCTACGGATGTTAGTATTTATGATGGTGGAGTGGAATTCCCAAGGTAAGGAAGTGTGCTCTTTTGCCTGAACTATTACGCAGACATAGAGTATGTGCATATCGCAATTACTTGCGGGTGGTATGTAGGACTGATGATACTTGGCTTGGTTGACTGTCCTTTGGACTCCATATTTCACGCACAAACCTAAGATCATCCGATCAACCCTGCATTCGGAGGCGCCACATTCGATTTTCGCTCGTGTTAGAGCTCATCAGTGGTGCATATCTTCCGCCACACCCAGGGTTTGAACCGGAGCCTTTTCATCTTGAACATGTGTGCGTTATCAGTGCGCCACCCCGCTCCCATCCGGGCCGATCCGAAACACCGACTCAAGTTGTTCAGATGTAATCCTTTATGGCAACCCGCAATGCCCAACAGCTTCGAATGGAGACACGGTCACTGCCCCGTTAACTCCAAACGAATTTCTCCCACCAAATCAAGTCTTCATTACGGGATGAGAGATTCATAAGATGATCTACGATTTGTGTACGATAGGCAGAGTCCAACGGACGGTCAGCCAAGGAAAATACGCGTTGAAAGTATGAGGAAACGAAAAACGATTAAAATATCACAATGATAAAATTGCCGTTTCGGTCCGAATTATTGTTATTCCAATATATAAGATATATCGATGACTGACACAACTCCGGTTCCTCCAGGCAAGCAGTTCAATTATATCATTCAAATAATCAGTGTCAGTGTGCCACTCAATTCTGTCATCAAAATACCGTTGTCCGAATAATCCTCATTATCCGAATCACACGACTTATTTCGAGATTCTCCATTCACCTTCCAGTTAGGCAAAACAAACAAATACGCAAACGAGGAAAAGAGGGGAGCATGCAGAATATCATTTTTGGTCAGTTATTCAAATGCACTATGCACAGCTCGTACCCGCCTTTAACCGGAACGGACTTTTTTTTACAAGAGTAACATCATAGCCATGCTTTACATATGCTTGGTTCGTTCTAGATCGGTTGTTCGAACCGCATCTTGAATGCAAAATTCTTTTGCAGGTCTTGGTATTACTGACTCTGCATTTCGAACCAAATCAGTATGTCAGCTACAAACTATCCCGGTAAAAGCACCTCACTCTTGCGAAGTTTCTCTGATACTAAAATCAAATTGGTAGGACTAATGAAAATATTCCTTCACAGGAATCACGTGAAGAAACCGCTGTGTAGGTTTTTGAATAAGCATCATCTGTTAAACGCAAACTTCTAACAGTTTGCACTTTGGATCCCTGAGACAAACGAATTGACCAATCATAGATGAATAATGACCACCTTTTCGATCGTTTCTTCCGCTAATTCGATCCATACTGTACCGATAAACTATTAAGTGCCAGGTGAAACTTGGCATCTGAGAGTTGTTGTACTTACGAGATTTAAGTGAGGTATCTGGTGTTTTTGCTATTCTCCTGGAAAATTATTCTTTAAATAACTCAAAAGTTCAAACCGTTGCATTATTCCAGCTGGAATCATTTTCTTTACTTATTTCCTTTTCTGATTATGCGAACCCGGAATTCACGATATAAAACGAGAGAAATAGACCGGAAAAAAAGATTAGCAAAAAAACATCGTGTTGCTAAATGGAAGAATTCTCTAAAAATATCTAAAATATTCCACTGAAGGCTATATGATATTTGCCTAAGCTGATAGTCTCCGCGTGGAATAAGGAATTCTGCATGTTGGTTCTTAACAAATCCCAGTTAAGGCTCAGTGAATATGCACCCAAGTAGACGGTTCAAGACAATTCTAAAGTTCACGCTCACTGAGTGAATGTTTCGTCACCTGTTGGGTTGACATCATCAGTAGGGGGAAGGACTTCGTACTCCTGTGTAACGAGTCCTGTCCTTAGATTTAATCTGTACTGATCATTATGAATAAAAGGAAACTTACTATAATTATAAATTATTCTCTCATGCCATTTCAGTGCTCTGCGCAAAGTGGAAAGAGATGGGAGCAGTGTAGAGCTCGTTAGGAATAAAAATGCAGTGCACACCAATCGCTCTCCAAATAGAGCTTGGGCCTGAGGTGAATGTTGATGAAACGGATACTCTAGAACCAGACTTGTGTTTGACTCACAATAGTTCACCTTGGGTTCGAGTCCCGACGGGACTCTCTACCTGTACACTACGGTTGGTGATTCCCAGGAAGGATCAAGTGAATTTTCATGCTGCATGTTAAGCCGGCCATGAATAGCTCATTGCATAGATGCTGCAAACATTGTATAACTGTTGTACGATTTTCTAAGCATCAAGACCTAACACGGAAGTTCGACCGTTTTAATACCAGTGGGTTTCAAATCCTATCCTTGTGGGATGATCTTAGCCTATATGAATCCTAGTCATATTTACTAAGGGCTGTCAGCGGTACTTCTGGAATAATTTTTCTGATGGGTCAGAAACAGTACACAGCATACATTATTGGGAGTTACAAGATCGCTTTTCAAGGTTAAATTATAAGAAATATGACCTAATATGTGTGTTTGGTCATGATCCATGTGGACACAGCTTGAATCCAATAGAGATGCTCAAGGGACTCAGTGTTCTCTGCGCATACGCAACGGAGAGAAATCATATATATATATATATATATATATATATATATATATATATATATAATGGAGTGCATAAACAACAGCTGATTTATTTGAATATGGTTGGTAGGAGATTAAATTTTACTTAATATGATTCGTTCCATAGAACCGAAGCTGAACGAACCACTGAAAACCACGGAAGCACTACACAGCTGTTTCATCCTTGCTTCGAATCATCATAGGTCCCAATGGCGAGTTGAACATTGATACGGCTTGGTAAATCATAGCAAGGAGCAATGGACTTAGCAATGGAAATCTGTGAATTATTTTCGTCCGCCATAGCTCTGCCCATCGCTTTAGGATCTCTATTGTACCTGCCATGTTCCCCCTATGGTTCTCATTCCATTTAGGTGTGAATGACATGTGGGTATATTTGCGCTGAGGGCGGAGAAAAAAGAATGTACACTAGGATTGACTTGTGAGATCATGGTCCTAACAGTTTAAATGCCGTAACTATTTCAGCTGTAAAATATCTATTAATATTCGTCATTCTAGTTGGTAATCAATCAAATTTGATATCCACGGTTGATTAACCTATGGAAATGCTGGAATAAAATTTGTCTGAGACCAATGGGGCATCTCTCGGCGCCTCACATCCCCCAGTCTCATCAAATATCAGGTTATCCGCTCTTCAGCAATTCAACAATAGGTTGGTTACATATCAGGTGCGTGCTTTCGTTGGGTAGATTGTACTCACGAACAGATACCTGACCACAAGGATAGCAAAACATGTTCTGAACTCTCACCCGGACTCAATGCAGCGCAATGTTGTAACACGTGGTTGAAAATGTCAGTTGACATGGTGATCCAATCTGAGTTTTCAACCAGCTTAGTGATTCACAGAATCCACAGCAAAACTATGCTTGGGGTCGTACGTGACGATCAAATCCATAGAATCCGAAACGGAACTCAGCATTTCACAGGCAAAGAAGTCTCGTACAACCGGAGTCGTTGCTTTGAAGAAAACGATTAGTTTCTGGATAATTCTCACTTGCAAGCTCTCCCCAGCCAGTTCCCTCTTCAACAACCTTTTACCCTTCTCCAGAATCACGCTGCATGCATGTTGTCTTTTAAATCAGTATAACAAGGACCATTAGTCTCACGGATCCCATTAGAAAACCACACTCATGTTCCCAAACACTATGTATTCTTTCATTTTTAATCAGAAGTGCACTGTACAAGATAGACAGGAGCTGAACTGTTGGGGAGAAAGCAAACTTGACCATAAGACTAAGGAAAGATTTTGATTCATATGAAGCCTTTTTGTTTCAGTGGAGGTATCGATTAAAGTCGGCTTTTTTTAGTAAAAACAAAAGCCTTACTTTCATTTATCATCAAGTGAATGTACATATTTAGGGAAGGGATCCGGACCCGTCGGAAGGCTGCTGAAAGGAGGAGTGACCAACGAATCGGGGAACTTCACGTGTAAGATTCACCATGGGGAGCATTTGTCTTTGATGAGATTCAAGAGAATCGGCCACATTCTGTCAACTGATTTCGACGATCAAATGGTCAATAAGGTCAAATAAAATCTTCTGCCTTCAGAGCATGTATATGTCATCTATCCTCTATTCTTGAAATAACAAACTATTTCCTGTCTAGTGGTTGAAGTGAGTAAAAATAATTGTTCTATTTTACGTACTGTAATGCTCCTTGATTTAGTTTTTACGAGTTTCATTATTGTGGGTATTTTGTCTACAATATTTTTCCCGTATAAGTATTCCGTCATTCCCCAACACTCTTTCGCTTTCAACCATTACAGGTTCAAACAATTATGTTGAAAGAATCCGACGAGACCGGTGAGGTTCGACATGCACGAGACGCATTGTTGCTTTGGTGTCAGCTGAAAACGGCCGGATATCCACAAGTACGTCTTGATCAGTTGTGCTTATCTGCACCGTGTTTATTCGAAGTCCTCGGTATCTTTATCCCGTGTAGAATTACGAATACGAAGTAAGGTGTTGGTCTCAGGATCGGAATCATGGTGAACACGATCAAACAGCGATAACCGTGATGAGCTGGACAGTTGTTTTGATAGTCCGTATGGGTGCACTGGTAAGCATTTGGTCAAAGACTGTCTCCATCTTGTCCGGATCGAACTGGTGACCAAAGTAGAAGTAGATTCTAGTCCACATAGCTGCCCGTGGATGTACACTGCTGATGATACCTAATAGGGGTGAAGCAGCTGTGCAGCACCTTCCTGTCTTTTAGTGGTGACTTCAGCTATGCTGCTGCATAACAAGTCATTTCATAATCAAATCTACGAATCACACTAAGATGAAATACCAAAAATTCATGTCTCGCGTTTCCATTGGGATTGAACAATTAACAGATGCAGATCAGGAGGAATCGCTCCTGATTCTGTATTTAAGCAAGAATCTCAGTGGGAAACCAAAAGAATGATTAGAGTGAAAATGCAGGAAGGATACCAGGTGTACATGAATGGTACGTATATAGTTGGATGACTTTGTCACTCATCACGCTGGCATTGCATGCAGTAGGTTTGCGCGAATCGCTAATCAAGAATTACAGAAGAGCACACTGAAGTGAAGCAGAATGTAAATATTGAAAGTATTTAATTCGATTACAGTCTGGTAGCTGCAATTTATCCCTTAAGATTAGAGCATAATCTGTGTAACTTTCGCCCTGTAGGCCAAGATAAGAGTCAAATGGGAAATGTGGATGTGGAGGAAATAAATCGAGTTGAAGAACTTGGCATTGGTAATCTAATCCTAAGTTTGGAGATGCATTTTTCATTTGAAAATACTGGAATAGGGCTAACTGTCATCAGGCCATGCCACAGAATCTTAAGGGTTTATCTTGAAACACAAGTGATCAAAACTGACGAAGATAATAATTACCGTAGAAAAATATGATTGGTTTTGCAGTCTGAATTGTTCTAGGCCTCCGAATTTGAACTGACAAGCAACGCAGTTTTCAAATGACAAAACTAGGTGGGCTAGATCCACCTCAATGTTCCGTTACACTATTTCCTAGATTTTTATTGGAGTCAGTTTAGGAAATAGTATTTGCATTATTGATGAAACTGTGAATGACAAAATTGGACCACAAGGGAGTAAAGATAAATTCCTTAAAATTCAGATGAGCTTAAATGTGTAGAATGTTTAGAAGAGATTCTTTCTTAATATTCCAAAGTTGCATAGTCGTCGAATAGAAGCCCGCAGACCTATAACTCGAGATACGAAAGTCTATCCGGGTTGCTACAATGCTCCCTAGAACTAGTTGCGGCCAAACAGTCAGCTAAAATACCTATGCCTATCAAAAACTTCCAGCCTCTGAAGACAAAACTCAACAAACAGAAGTGTGGCACTTCTGGATTACCACTGGGAAAACGGAGTCAAATATCCAACAATAACCCATGATGGGTTCAAATTTCATTGATTATCACAAATGAGTTCTCTTAGCTGAGAAAGTACTTGACTGGGCAATACTTTGTTCCACTTACAAATTTCATTAGTGGTTGATCTGTTCCACAACACCTTTTTCAAAGTTGAAAGTTTACAAACTAGTTTTGTTTTTCTATGCTGTGACATCCTGGGTGTCATTTGCTGATCAAAATATTCCACTATAAGATACCGGCATGATAGAGGGAATTCATCTTGTGAGTGTGGTCGCATTATTTAATATCGGTATGAAATTGTGAGCGCACGGTATTGTTGTAAGATAGGTCAACATCCGTGGTGTTGTGTGGAGATGTTTTGTCTCCGAGTTTTGGTCATCTCGTCAATTGGCATTGGTTGACTGGTAGACCGGTGATTACCAGGTTCTGTGATGCAATCGAGTCGATCAATTGAAGTTGTTTTTGAATTATTTTGATTGATATTTATTAGTCAATCGGGAATCGTGATGAACTGACTACCTAGCTGTTCTTAGAATCCGAAATTGAACTATTCCAGTCATTTCAATTTTTGAGAAATTTACCGTGATCCACGGCCCTCGTCCAAAGATGTTGCTCGAATGTTCCATGGAAGATGAGGGGATTAAAACAAATAAAAATGAATACCAGCTCACTGCTTGGATTTCCTCATTAGAACGACAATTTATGAGCAACAAGATGTGATCGGTGAAACAGATTTTCGGAAAAATCTATACACCAGTCTCTATTGCATTGTTATCAATAATATTATCATCATCAGTATTAATGTGCAATACGTGAATGTTTTGACAGCTGCAAACAAACGAAATACGATCCTTCTCGTCCGGAGGATGATCTGGTATGTTATCAGTTCAAATATATATTCAGTACAGTAGGGACTAATTTCCAATTCAGTCTTCTGTGATACATGTGTAAGTTAGATTCTTCCTGCTTCACGCACCAGGTAGTTAAACCCTCGCTCAAATGCACATCCCCATTATATATATATATATATATATATATATATATATATATATATATATATATATATATTACACCGGCTTGAGAACAAACATGAAGCCAACGCAACAACAACAGAAACAAATCACCAAGTCGAGGGGCGGGGGATTAAGTGTCAGCAAAATGATCACAATTAAAAGTAGATGTTTTCGAAATTTCCACAGTGAACGTTTTGTTGATATTTTTGTCGGTTTTTTAATGGTTGCTGAGGAAAGGGAAGTCAATAGATAGGCCATACAACATTCGCGCCAACAGATTTGATTCTGGGCCATACCTCTCAGAGTCTATAACCAACGGCAATCCTCATCTCTTGAGCCCCAATCATTGAGGCGGGAAGCACCAACCGAAGCCAAAGCTGAAGCAAAATTTCTGCATGTCCCTGCGCTAAGTCATAACCTGATCGCCACGCCCTTTCTTCCAGTCTTGCCCAGCACGTGCAAAAAGAGCGTGAAAAGATAAACAATGGGCTGGCATTCGCAAAACGTGCCCGAGCTATTGGAGGTTGTGTAGAGCGTCTACCTCTATCAAGGGGCGACTCTCAGGACGAAACACACGACGACGAACTTAATGATGGCTCACCCGATATTCCCATTAGACACGAATAATGCTTCGGAGACAACGGTGGTCGAATAGAAAAAACTCATCGAGCATCCTCAATACCGAGGGGCCAGGTCTCGCAATCGTAAAGAAGAACACAGCGAACTGCGGCACTGTACACCCTTCCCTTGAGAGAAAGCCGGCTGTCATGGCGATAACACAGATGACGCAGTTTCGCGAAAGCTGCTGTTGCTCTCGCAATTCGTGATGTGATCTCCTCAACACCACCACCAGCTGTGATCAGGCTCCCTAGGTACTCAAAGCTGTTGACTACCTCTAACCGATTACCACCAAAGTTGAGTGCAGGCACAGGCTCCTGTCAGTCTTGAACAAGTACTTTGCACTTTGAAAGCACGAAGTACATATCGTACTGCGATATCCTAATCCCCAAGAGACTCAATGCCTGTTGAACTGCCTGTGCACTGTCACTCAGTAGGGCGATATCATCGGTTTACTCTAAGTCAAAGACTCTGTCCCCTGGGAGGAGTTTAACCCCACCAGTCAGATGATCACACAAGGTGTTCTGCAGGACATCCTTTGTAGCAAAATTGAGAAGAAACGGGAATACTGTCCTGCCTTGTCGTACTCCACTGGAGACGCCAAAGAGTGGAGGAAGCTAGCCATAATCCCAAACTCGACCTGAAGTATGAAGGTACAACTCTATGTCGACCGGCACACACTTCTCAGGTACGCCGTTCCTTAAGAAACAGTGTCACAATGCAGACCTATCGACGGAGTCGAAGGCCTGCACGAATGTCTAGAAAAACAACGACTGTTCGACTTTGGAAGGTGTACCGGTGCTCTAACAGCTGTCGGAGGGATGACTTGTGTTGAGTTCACGTCTTGTTGTCAGCCGTACTGCATTACGCTCACTACCATCCGGGATGGACTGACGTGGAGGCTCAGTAGAAATCCAGGGTGTCACGAAACGATGGGCCACGCAACAACTCGCTAACCCAACAGAATACCAAGCATTCTTAAGCAGTGACCAGTGCTGGTTGATGTTGTTTGGAAGAGCTGATCCTAGCTTTTTAGCTAGAAAGTTGACTGGCAAGACATATCAGACAACTAACGCAGTCTAACTGCTGCTTCATCGTGCTTTTGGCACACCCACTGAAGCACATAGACAGCTTTGTACAGACTAATGCGTGGTCGGACTCAAGGGCAGTGCTCTAGTACAACTGGCAGTCTTGCATGCAACCCCACTATTTGTAGCTAATTGAAGCGTGGTCTATCTGGGTCCATTGCTGACTCGCAGAGGGCTGCAGCCTAGGAGTGTACCGGCGAGTAGAACGTCTGAATTTGGTACTGGTAAGAAACAGGCGGTGATGTAAACACAGAATCGGCAGTCATTGCCAGTTTTCTGGAAGAAAACAATCGAGGTCAAAAGGGCCTTCCAAATACGCTTTGTTCAAAGACAGCCGGCCCACTCTGGCGTTCATGTATCCAGCTATAATCATGATATCATCCCGTTTTGATTTATGTAAGAGATCGTGTAACTTTTAGTAGAAAACATCTTTGATTGCATCTGAACTGCAATCTATACAGAAAAGCTGAGGTGACAAACGAATTGCATCTATCGGAACAGCGTTTGCTTACTTTGCACGAACCTCTTAGTCTCACTGCCCACAACCGACTGTCAACTGAGATCCAGTCAAGTAGAGCATTCTTAGCCCTCCCACTGATAGCTATACCTACGCCAGCAAGACCAGCAGCCGCAGCCTCGGAGTTCACAGAAAAATGCAAGAGGAACTTTACAGGACTGGATGGGGGCACCAATCAAATGACGGAGCTGTAATCTTGGATGCAAGTGTCTTGAACACAACAAACGTCGATGGCAAGGATCTCCAACGTATGAGCCAAAAATGCCTGTT